ATGTGGGGAAATGCAATCGTGAGGTCCTGGAGGAGAAATTTAGGCTGCTGGGCAGGAAACTTAGGTCCAGGACCTCCAAGGTAGCTTTCTCAGAAGTGCTACCTGTTCCACGCGCAGGGCTGGAGAGACAGGCACAGATCAGGAGTCTCAATGTGTGGATGAGACGATGGTGTAGGTGGGAAGGTTTCGAGTTTCTTAGGCACTGGGATGCTTTTTGGAACAAGAGGGAGCTGTACAGGCGAGACTATCTCCACTTGTCCCGAGAAGGAACCAGGCTGCTGGCGCTTAAAATCAAAAAGGTGGCAGAGCAGTTTTTAAACTGAATATTGGGGGAAAGCCAAAAGGAGATGAAAAGTCTCTGGTTCGGGTTGGCTCATCTCAGAGAGATGAGGGGGTACCTGTTGCTTTTCTACAGGGAGGTGGATTGAAATTGTCCACTGAGACCATGGCTAGTGACATGGACTGCCTGACAAGGTCTCGAGATAGCAAGAGGAAGGTTGCAGGCTTAACTTGTATGAGAAATTATAGCTGTTTCTATACAAATGCTAGAAGTGTCCGAGGTAAAATCAGGGAGTTGGAGTGCTTGGTGTTGGAGGGAAAAATAGACATTGTGGGTATTTCAGAAACTTGGTGGGATGAGGAAAATCAGTGGGATTCAGTGATTCCCGGTTATATATTCTATCGGAAGGATAGGGGGGGAAGGATTGGAGGTGGGGTGGCTCTGTATGTCAGAGAGGGTATAAAGTCCAGAAAGATGCGGGTGGTGTGAATGCACAGATGACCACTCGAAGATCATCAGTTACAGGTAAGCAACCTGTTTATCTTCGATGTGGTCTCTGTGCTTCACACCCATGGGAGATTAGCGAACAGTGGCCTACCTGGAGGAGGGTGCTGGCAGGTCCTTACTGCGTAGCTGAAGATAGAATGTGATTTCCCATGTTGGTATTAGAGTTCTTCAGGACGTCTAGGGCATAGTGCCTTATGAAGGTGTTAGGCTTGGCCCACGTAGCGGCTTTGCAAATGTCCGTTAACGGAACTCCCTGGAGGAAGGCAGTGGAGGCTGCAACAGCTCGGGTTGAATGGGCCCTGATAGGGCCAGGGAATGGCTGGCGATCAGATAGCAGAGGCGGATGAGCCCCGCAATCCACTTTGAGAGGCGCTGAGCCGTGATGCGAGTCCCCAGCCTTGCTGGTGCGTACGAGATGAACAGTTGGGAGTCACGTCTCGCTGGGCGGGTTCTGTTCAGGTAGAACAGGAGCGCACGGTTCACAGCCAAAGTGTGTAACAGTCTGTCCTCTGAGGATGTTGGAGCCAGAAAGAAATCCGAGAGGAAGACCTCTGCCCGTAGGTGGAATTCTGACACTACCTTTGGCAGGAACGAGATGTCAGGTACGAGGCGGACACCGTCTGGCAAAAAGGACACGTAAGGCGTGTCATGTCTGAAAGCCAGTATTTCTCCAAGTCGCCTCGCAGAGGTGACAGCAACCAGAAAGGCCGTTTTCCATGACAGGAATTTCATGTTGCAAGTTGCGAGTGGCTCAAAGGGTTTCATCGTGAGCTGACGAAGAACTAGAGGAAGGTCCCAGGGAACGACAGGAGTTTTGACAGGAGGGTAGAGATGCAATAAACCTTTTAAAAAGACGTTTTGAAAGCGGATGTGAAAACAGTGTGCATCTGTCAACTTGAACATGGTAGGCCGAAAGTGCGGCCAAATAAACTCTTAACGAGGAGTGAGAGAGTCCCGAGTCAGCGAGGGACAGGAGGAATTGGAAAACGTTCTCGAGACCCACGGAGGTGGCCTGAGGGGCATCGTCACCCAAGTAGGAACAGAACTTTTGCCATTTGTAATGGTACAACTTCCGCGTAGTAGGCTTTCTTGCATTTAATAAAACGTTAGCTACGCGGGTGGAAAAGGTGTTGACGGTATTCTCCAGGCAGTCAACTTCATCCGTGGCATGTCGTGGTATAGGAGAGGAGAGTCGGACAGGAAGAGGAGGTCCTGTGCCAGAGGGAATTGATGGTAGACCCCTGCTGACAACTCGAGGACGGCCGAGAACCATGGTTGCCTCGGCCACTACGGGGTTATTAAAATGTAGTCCGCTCCGTCTCTGATGATTTTGCGAACCACTCTCAGAAGCAGGGGTAGTGGAGGGAACAGGTAAAAAAGGCCTGTGGACCACGGATAGAGGAGACTGCCTCCTAGAGACTGTGGATCCCTGCCGCCTTGACTGCAGAACAAAGGACATTTTTTGTTGGCTCTGGTGGCAAAAACATTGACTTGGGGAACTTCCCACCTGCGGAAGAGTGGGAGGAGGTAGGTTGGTTTCATCTCCCACTCGTGAAGGCTGAGTCCTGCTCAACTCAGATGGTCTGCCTGCACGTTCATGTGTCCAGGGATGTGTGTGGCTACGAGGAAAATGTTGTTGGCGATGCAAAGGTTCCACAACTGGATGGCAAGGTTGCAGAGGCATAGGGAGACAGTGCCCCCTTGCTTGTTGACATAACTGAGTGCAGTAGTGTTGTCCGTGAGGACCGTGACACATTTCCCTTTGAGCATAGGTAGGAAGCTGGTGACAGCATACAGTATTGCCAGCAGTTCCAGGAAGTTTATGTGCCGCTTCCTCTTCTGCACGTCCCATTTGCCTCCAACACAAAGGCCCATCGTGTGGGCACCCCAACCCGTCAGGGAAGCATCCGTTGTTAGGGTGATTTGGGGTGACGGAGGATAGAAGGGTGCTCCCTGGAAAAGATTGGAAGGGACAGTCCGCCAAAGTAAAGACTTTCGTATATTGGGAGGGGGGGTTAGGATGGTGGTATGTGCATTTTTCGTTGTATCGAAGTTACGGATAAACCACAGTTGTAGGTGGCGCATTTTTAGTTTTGCGAAGAACAGGACCGACGTAGTTGCGGCCATAAGGCCGAGTAGCCTCTGTATCTGGAAGGCCGTGACTGAAGGTTGGGTACAGACGACGGTGGCTAGGTGGATGATGTCGGCCGCTCTGTCTTGTGGCAGGTAAGCCATGCATGTCTTGGAATCCAGTAGAGCACCAATGTACTGTATTTTCTGGACCAGTTGAAGTTGAGAGTTTTGCAGATTGACTTGCAGGCCCAGGTTTTCCAAGAGTACCATTGTCTCATTGATGTTTGAGACCAGAGTGTCCTTGGAGGATGCTAACAAGAGCCAATCGTCGATGTACGGGTAGATGGAGATACCCTTGAGACGGAGGAAGGCCGCAACCACAATCATAGTCTTTGTGAAGACTCTTGGGACGCTTGAAAGGCTGAATGGTAGGGCTGCATATTGGTAATGCTGTTGACCAATTGCGAAGCGTAGGCTTTTGCGGTGGGAGGGGTCAATGGTGAGGTGGAAGTACGCGTCTTGGAGGTCGAGGGTGGCCATCCAGATGTTTTTCCAGAGAAGTGGCATAATCTGCTGCAAGGACACCATGCGGAAGCGGTGGTAGGTGACATAACAGTTCAGCTCCCTTAGATCTAATATGGGTCGAACGCCTCCATCCCGCTTTGGGACTGTGAAGTATCAGGAATAAAATCCCATCCCGTGGAGGTGTGGTGGTACCCGCTCGATGGCTCCCTTTTGTGCAGAAGGACAAACACCTTGTCTAGGAGAGGCGGGGAAGGGGGTGTGGAGACAACGGGAGTAATGGGGTTCTGGTGGAATTGGATACGATAGCCTTGGGTCACGATGGACAGCACCCATTCATCCGAGGTGTTATGACGCCAGGCGTGAAGGAAGGGTGACAGATAGGTTTGAGCTGACTCGGTAGGAGGGAAGTCAAAAGCCCTGCTTGGAGGACTTTGCTTGTTTGGTGTGGGAGGACTGTTGTCCAGTTCCAAACTTAGGCTTTTGAAAGGCGGGTTTTTGACCACCCAAAGCCGTACGCGGTCTCCATTGCCTGTCAGGAGACTGACGATTCGGGGTGCGTCTTTGCCAGGGCCTAGACCAGGTGCGAGGGTGATATTGTTGTCTCGTGGAAGGTGACACTCCTAGAGCGTGAGAGGCCTTTATGCTCTTATCCATATCCTGGAGCATGGTATCGGTCGTGCTATTGAAGAGACCAAGGCCATCAAAAGAAAGGGCTTCGACATAGGACCTAGTATCTTGTGGAAGATTGGTATTGCGGAGCCAGGAGTGCCTTCTAAGAGCTATTGCTGAGGCCATTGTTCTGGAGGAAGCATCTAGGGCATGTTTGGAAGTGTTGATCTGCTGCTTCGCAAGGACCATGCCTTCCTTCTGAATAACCCTGGCTGCCTGAAGCTTGTCTTCAGGGAGGTGGGTCTGGAGTTCAGAGAACCTTTCCCACAGAGTGTATTGATATCTGCTCATGCAGGCCAGGTAGTTAGTGGTTTTGACCCCCAACGCACTCGTGGAGTAGAAGCGTCTCCCAAACGCGTCTAATTTCCTACTTTCCCTGTCAGAGGGTGCCGAGTGAGTTCGTTTCGACTTGGATGAGGATGTTACAACCACCGAATTTGGTTGAGGGTGGGAAAATAAAAATTCGGCACCTGCCTCCTGGACTCTGTACTTGTGGTCCAGGCGTCTTGTTGACACTGGAGCTGATGAAGGCTTTTCCCATGGTGCTTTGGTAGCTTGCAAAAGGAAAGTGGACATGGGGAGTGCAATGGTAGTGGAAGTATCCAGTTGCACAATATCAAAAACAGGATCAGTAACCTGTGGCTGTTGCTGTATGACAGAGAGGCCTAGAGAATGGGCCATTCTTTTGACAAGGTCTGCATATGAAGTGAGATTGTTGGATGGTGATATAGGGAGGTCCTCCACAACAGCTTGGTTAGGAGACTTGTGGTCAGGGAAGGTTTGGATTTCCGAAGCCTCTGTATCAGAATCGTCTTCTCCAGATTCAGAGGAGCCCTGCTCTGGCATTTGTACTGGAGTGACTTCTGCTTGACCAGTTAAAATCTTTGGTGGAACGACTTGGGGGTTGGGAGGACAAAAAGGTTCCGATTGACGGTGGGAAGGATCCTCAGCCGGAGGTCGAGACAGAGACGCTGAAGGTCCTGATTTGTAGGGTGACCTTGATCTGTGGGCAGACTGGGTCGAGTAGCGATCCCAGTCGGAATAGCCCGCAGGAATCAGCCAGGGCATGGATGGTGGATAACCGCTGTAGAGGTACCCCAGTTGGCGTTGATCCCAAGACATAGGTGGTGGTGCGGGGATAAAGACTCGGGGGGGGATCGACTTCTGGATCGAGTACGTCTCGGAGACAAAGGAATGTGCTGCCTTTGTGAACGGTCCCTATAAACTCGCTCAACAATATCGACAGGTTCGACATGCAGACGTGGAGGTTGACGTTGCGTGCTAGTAGAAATGTGTCGATTCCGACCTGTATCGACGTCAGGAACTTCTGATACCATTGATGTCGACAATGGAGAAGGAGAGAGGGAAGGCTCTGCACCCATGGGGTGACTTAGGAGCTCCACATTCTCGATGTCGGAGTAAGGACGCTCTAGTTGTTGTATACGAGAGTCCAAAAGCTGAATGGTCGGTATCGGTGGAGGAGCGTGTGTCTCCGATGTCGATGGAGCGGGGGCCACTTTAGGGTCATCACCCAGTGCAGACGCCACCACCTTCACCTTCTTTGCCGCCTTTAGGGACTTAGAGGAGCCCTTTTTTGCGGACTTATCTTTACTTGCCTTGGGCCTCTTCTTCACCGCCATGGAGGCGGAGGATTGCGCCTTGGGCGATGTCAGAGGCAGGCCTCGATACCGGAGCCGTCGAGGTCAAAGGTCTCTCAGAGTCCATCGCTGAGGAAGGATGTAGCACCGATTCAAGTAGCGCCACTTTGAGGCGCGCAGCTTGTTTTTTTTCAGGTCTGGTTCGAAAACCTAGCACAGTGCCGGCAAGACTCAGGTCGGTGAGACTCACCCAAACAAAAAATACAGAGGGTGTGGCGGTCAGGCGGTGCGAGTTTACTGCCGCAGCCTTTACACCGGTTAAAAAAGCCGCACTTCTTCTCCATAGAACAAGAGCAGAGAAGAAATAAGGGGGGGGGGTAGAGCCCGAAGGCCAAGCTGAGGTAAACGGCAACTTCCCCCCTCAGGAAAAATAAACATTTGTGGGGGGGTTTTATTTTAGTAGGTAACGAAGAAGTAATACAAAAAAAGGAGAAAAGTGAGGGAAAAATCCAAAGAGCCGTGAGTCAAATAGCCAAAAACAGCAAACCAATCAGACCGACGGAGAAAAGGTCTTTCCAACGCAGCGGTAAGAAAGGAACTGGTGGGATGTCCGCGCCCTCCCCTCTGGGCATGCATGGTGGGGTTCCTGCACATGCCCAAGGTCTGGGTGCGAAGGTCCGTTAAAGAGCTTGCTACAATGCCGGTCGATCCAGCGCTTGTGCACTGAATCCCCCGAGAGTTCTGAAAGAACTCAAATGTGAACTTGTAGATCTCCTTACAAAACTATGTAATCTTTCCTTAAAATCTGCCTCCATTCCTGAGGACTGGAAGGTAGTTAATGTCACTCCCATCTTTAAAAAGGGTTCCAGAGGAGATCCGGGAAATTACAGGCCAGTCAGTCTGACGTCGATACCGGGTAAATTGGTGGAAACTATTATTAAGGAAAGAATTAGTAGGCACATAGATGAACAAAACCTATTGAGGCAGACTCAGCATGGGTTCTGTAAGGGAAGATCTTTTCTCACTAACGTGTTAGTGTTCTTTGAGGGGGTGAACAAACATGTGGACAAGGGGGATCCAATAGATATTGTTTACCTTGACTTCCAGAAAGCTTTTGATAAAGTTCCTCATCAAAGGCTCCTAAGTAAGCTCAAAAATCATGGGATAAAAGGACAAGTCCTTTTATGGATCAAAAACTGGCTAATTAATAGAAAACAGAGAGTGAGTATAAATGGGCAATTTTCTCAGTGGAGGGTGGTAAGCAGTGGGGTACCGCAGGGATCAGTACTTGGTCCACTGCTTTTTAACTTGTTCATTAATGATTTGGAGATGGGAGTAAGCAGTGAAGTGGCTAAATTTGCGGATGATACAAAGTTGTTCGGGGTGGTGAAAACCAGTGAGGATTGTGAGGCACTCCAAGGGGATCTGTCAAGGATGGGCGAGTGGGCGTCAACATGGCAAATGGGGTTCAATGTGGCCAAGTGCAAGGTGATGCACATTGGAGCTAAAAATCCTAAATATAAATACACATTGATGGGGTCTGAACTGGCAGAGACTGATCAAGAGAGAGATCTTGGAGTTGTAGTGGATAACTCACTGAAAATGTTGAGACAGTGTGTGACTGCAATAAAGAAGGCCAATGCTATGCTGGGGATTATTAGGAAGGGTATTGAAAACAGATCAGCCAATATCATAATGCCCCTATATAAATCAATGGTGAGACCTCATTTGGAATACTGTGTGCAGTTCTGGTCACCACCACACCTTAAAAAGGATATAGCTTTGGAAAAAGTGCAGAAAAGGGCAACTCAAATGATAAAAGGGTTGGAACACTTTCCCTATGAGGAAAGGTTAAAGCGCTTAGGGCTCTTTAGCTTGGCGAAATGACGACTGAGGGGTGACATGATTGAGGTTTAGATTATGCATGGGAAAGAGCAGGTAGGGAAATGAAAGAGGTACTTTTCTCCCTTTCTCACAATACAAGACCTCGTGGGCACTCAATGAAATTGCTGAGCAGTTGGGTTAGAATGGATAAAAGGAAGTACTTCTTCACCCAAAGAGTGATTAACACATGGAATTCACTGCCACAGGAAGTGGTGGCGGCTACAAGCATGGACGGCTTCAAAAGGGAATTAGATAAGCATATAGAGCAGAGGTCCATCAGTGGCTATTAGCCACAAGGTATAGATAGGGGCTCTGGGGCAAGTGATGCTCTGTCTTCTTGGTGCTTAGGGGGGTCAACAGTGGGAGGGCTTCTAATGTCCTGGCCCCACTGGTGGACCTCCTGATGGCACTGGTATTTTTGGCCACTGTGTGACAGAGTGTTGGACTGGATGGGCCTTTTGGCCTGATCCAACATTGGTGTCTCTTATGTTCTTATAAGAATCAAAAGGCAACCAATCAGACTTAAAATTACAAGTTTTAATCTCAGCAGAGTAATTTCATGCCAGAATGTATGGATTATGCCATGCCCTCATAGCCAGGAAAGGACCGTCTATTGAAGGTTCAGCAATCACTGATGTTTTTGCTTACCAAACTGGATGTAAACCTGTTTTTCATTTCTGTCAGCATCTCTGTGATGTTCTGAGAGAACATCTCCACCACAATTTCATCTGTAAGTCAAAGAAATGGGGAGAATCAGTTCTCAGGAAAGAGCGGGAAATATAGCCAAAAGTGGCAACACAAATTGTTTCTGCGAGGCACCCGTGAGACTAGCATCATATGAAAAGTTTGAATGTTCAGGTCACCACAAGAACCGGTTTTCAGCCCTAGTTGTGGTAGGAAATAGATGCACCGTAATTCTGGCTTGTGTCAGCAGCCGGAAGAGTAATGGTGACTGGGGAAAAGAACAAGACCGCAAGGGGAAGGATGGCTTAGCTGCGCTTTTGGCCAGAGAACAGGCAGACACGGGGAGCTGGCTTCTCCTTCCTTCCCTACCAGGAGGCTCCGGGCTCCATCACTGGCCAGAGGACAACAGGCCCGTGGAAAGTTCTCCTGCGTACAACCAAGCAAGATTAGTCTGGTCCAGTTTTATAAATCCAGTCTGCTTCCTCAGCCTGCTCACTTCCCTTCTCTTGTGTCCTGTCTTTTTGTGTGTCTTCTCTGCCTCAGGGCTCAGGTTGTCTATCTCAGCCCCTGGAAAAGCAGTAACAGACCCGTTTCAGAGGGTCGCTGTGTTGGTTTTCAGTAGAACGGTTGGATTCAAGTCTGGTGGCGTCTTAGAAACCCACAAGGTTTTGAGGTGTGTGATCTTTTGAGCGTCAGAGCTCCCTTTGCCAGGTATGTCGTATCTAACTCTTGGGAGCTCCAACTCTGAACATCTTGTGGGTCTCTACGGTGCTCCTAGACTCGATTCCAGCCGCACCAGATTGTTGGGGGGGAGGGGGGGAAGCGCAATATAAGCCACCTGGAGTTTTTTAAAAGAAGGGCAAAAGTAATAAAAAAGGTAAGATAAACAAAAATTGTAATATATCTTTGTTGTTGTTCAGTCGCACAGTCGAGTCCGACTCTTCGCGACCCCATGGACCAGATCACGCCAGGCCCTCCTGTCTTCCGTTGTCCTCCGGTGTTTGCTCAGTTTCATGTTCGTTGCCTCGATAACACTGTCTATCCATCTCTTCCTTTGCCGTCCCCGTCTTCTTTGACCTTCAGTCTTTCCCAGCATCAGGGTCTTCTTCTCCAGTGAGTGGCTCCCTTCTCATTGGGTGGCCAAAGTATTTGAGCTTCAGCTTCAGTCTCTGGCCTTCCAGGGAACAGCCAGGGCTGATTCCTATAGGACTGACTGATTTGCTCTTGCAGTCCTGTGGGGCTAAATTGGTCCTTTAACCCCCGCCCCAAGTTCAGCTTTATACCAACGATGACCAGTGCTTATTACTTTTCCTTACCTCTTATTTGGACCTTTTAAATTGCCTGAATCAATGGTGCATTGTACTTTACACAGTAATTTCTGTTCAAAATTCTGATTATCTGAATATTGCTACCCTGAAACTTAGTGTGTAGATTCTAATCACATAACCCACTACTAGGAGTGCCCATAATTAAATAACAGTTACCATTTACAGAGGGCTTGAAAGTATTCAAAGAGGTTTCTGTATGTTACCCAGTATTCCACAGGGCAACTGCCAGCTAAGCCAAGGCTGACAGATAACAGGGTGTCTAAAACCATCCCTGGATGTCATAGAGGGGGATTCCTCCACTCCACTTCTAATATACTCCATCCCTTAAAGTTTGGAGTAAAATTTCCTTGTCCTGCAGCTTGTTTCTGAGGGAGGTCACTATATTATGAGTCCTTTTCAGTTCCCCTGGAGCTGAACCCAAGTCCTGTGTCTCCTCCTGGCTTGTGAAGGAAGCAGAAGCTATGGGGGCAGCAGCAGCAGCAGTTTTACCGTAGTTGAACATCTCGTCAATCAGCACACACATGTCTTCCACCACTTCGGGGTCCTCACGGTGAAGCTGATAGCACTCCTTCAGCATGGTCATGCCGCTGCCCTTTTCATCCGTGACGATGAATCGGAAGCCAGACAGTTCTGGAAAGAGGGAGACACCGCTGATTGAAAACTTCTCCGGAATCTTGGGGTGGCTTAGAAAATACAACAAACAGAAAAAAAACTATCCATATTTCAAGCCAGCATTAATGTCATTCTGTACAAGGCTGGAAGTCGGAAAGGGAGGGCTCTGTCTTCATGGCTGGTGGTGCTCAGACACCGGGCAGGCCTGTTGTGATTTAAATATGATGAACCATTCCCTGCCTCTCTCCTAAGCAGAGTCCCGCAGCACAAGGACCGCCTGTGGAGCCCAGCCTTCTGGATACTTCCAGAAACCAGCTGACGCAGCAGTGGAAGAGGCTCAGTGCCACCGTCAAGAATGACCTGGCATTTCCTGCCGCCAGGATCCTCTGTCTCATGTGCTTCCAGCTCACTTTACTTTCTTATTTTTGCATCTGCTCTGTGGCCCTGAAGCCATCCATGGTGTAAGAGCCACAGAGGTCACTGGTCATGTCAGGGTAGTGGTTCTGTGGCACAACCACGTTGTCTGGTTCCCACCACTCTCATGCTTCTGAGCGGGCTCACGGGCCTCAATGTATTGTTTGCAAAATAGTATAAAGCTCAGTAGCACCTTTTAAGACTAACAAACCTTATTGTAGCATAAGCTTTCGAGGAACACAGCTCTCTTCCATATCTGGGTGGCTGGCTTCACAATAAAGCTTATGCTACAATAAAGTCTGTATGTGTTAACAAGGCCAGCCTGCACCAATCAATGCATGCTGCCAGTCTCTCCAGGACCCAAATCTGCCATGTGCAAAACCATGCGTGATGCACAGGGGCCTTTCTGAGGCACAGAGTGAGTGCAGCGGCAAGATCCCCAGTTGCTTTCTTCCGCCTTTCGTTGCAGGCCACAGGCTCTCAGCCTGCCTAGTTGGGTAGCCATGCTCCCCTGTCTATTTCAGGCTCTTACCAGATGTCCTTAAAAGGCTTGCCAATGCCAGGAACGCATTCTTTGCCAGCACTGGCCTTTCGGGGTACAGCCGGAGAGCGTTCAGCAGAAGCAAGGCATAGGGCTCGTAATTCGCTTCATCAACACAGTCTGGAGGGGGGAAATCACAAGTAGCAAGTGAAATAAAACCCATTATGTTTTTCTACAACTTTGCAGCAACTGTACCGTTTTGGAAAGGAAAGAAAAATTGGAGCATTTTATGCAATCCAGTATACTTAAAATATCTAGGGAAAGGAAGGGTATAAGAATAGCTCACACAGGGAAATTATTCAGAATTTCTTTTTCTCAGATGTTCAACTCCAGTTCATCTCAAAGAGGGGATGAATCCACCCTTTGCTAAAATACCCTGGTCACAATCACATACTGGGGGCATAAACATTCTGCAGGAAGTTCCACCCAAAGAGAACTTCACCGTTGCAAAGGTGTCAGTCTTACAGTGCCACCTGAAAGCAGATGGCAGCTTTACAGATTGCCTCAAAGTTCCCCTTCTGAGGAGCAAGAACACATGCAAACATTTGCATTCCCAGGAGGAATGGACGTAGGAGTGTCTCAGCTTTGGGGAACTTTTTCTACACCAGAGGAGGCCAATATGAACCTTCAGCAATCTGTGTCTTTGTGGCCACGGTCATTACACAGATGCAATATGGCTCCCAGTTACGTTCACATGCCAACTTTAGACCCTCCGAAATCATTCAGATCAAACTCCCGAGAGTCATATTTTAGGTCCCTTGCTGTGTTCCTAATGCAGTTCTGCATCAGGTTTAATTTCTCTGGAATCTCCTGCATGGTTGCACAGGATCAACTACTGTCCGAAGCTGTTTTCTCTCCTGTGGGTCTTGCAACTTTAACACCAACAGTCGCCTTTCAGTCAAAATGGAAAAGGTCCCTTTAAGAGTAATTACATTGGATATTCTCCCAGTAGTTTAATAGCCTTGGGTTATTCCAAAGCTAAATCTGAAATTAAGCAAAGGATTTGGGACATCGCATTTCAACACCATCTAAGTCATGCTGCAAAATACCATCACTTCAGGAATGCGAAACTGGTAGGATAGCTTGCACTCTGACCTGTCTCAATATTCTTCCATCTGCTTTATTAGAAGGGGGATACCATGGCACGCCACTTCAGGAGCACTGATGGTCTTGCGCTACAGGGAAAAGGAAACGGCTGCACGTGCACCGCTACATTGCCCCTTCAATAAGACCTTAGATGTGTACTTACTACACCCATCCTCCAAAAAATCTTGGGGGAGATTGGAAGAATGGGATACCTCTTTTCTTCTTGTGGCCCTTGAATCTGAAACCTCGGATAGACTTGCCAGATTCTGTGCAGCTGCCAGAGTCTACCGAGGGACAGTGTTGATTCAGTGACACGTTTTTGCTTTTTCATATATATTTTAATGTGTATCTTGTTGCCACTCTGTTCACGTGTGCTTTATTCTGCTGGTCTATGACTGATTGGTATTCCCTGGAGGAGACAGCAGAACCGTTGCAGGTGGTGGTGAGGAGGAAATGTTTTTCTTACGATGAAGTATGACTCTAGATAACTGAGATGCTCATCCAACTTTAGAGGGGAAACATAATGGAAGAGTTTCTGCACCCACCAGGGAACAAACTCTAGAGACCCACCCCTCTTTCTACTACCCAGCTCGTGAGGAGGGCAAAGTTTTCAAAATTCTAACTTCTACATGGAGTGACCTAAGCTTCCGCTGCAGCTTTCTTGCATGTTGCTGGGGGTTGCAGGGTCTATGCTCTAAAATTTGCATGGGGCTTTTGGGCTTAGGTGCTATCCTACACGATCTGTGTCGATGCCCCACACTGCAAGGTAAATTAGTCGTGGTGGGCAACCTGTCTTGGGTTTTTTACCATCACCAGCCTTCTAAGGAAAGGACTTATTGGTATGCCCAGGGTGCCTAGGAAAGCAACATGGCTTGAAAAATACCAGCCACAGATGAAAGCTTAAGGTATCTCACTCCAGAATTAAGTTCTCTTCCTCTACAGCTGGATAATGAAAACTCACCGTGAAGGGCCAGGGCCCAGAAAGCACAGCATGCAGATTCTACCACATCTCCATGCTGAAGGTGCATGTGGAGGATTGTAGAGACAATCTCAATAGCACATTTCAGTGGGATTTCAGACACATCAGTTACTAGAAGATCCATGGAGAAACAAAAACAAGTTGTCCAGAAAACATACTATAACATGCTGACTAGATTATTACCCAGAGTGCCAGTTCCTAACATGATTAAAGAGATGCTAGAGATTTCCCAAAATATATGAGCCTCAGTTCTGAGAGAGTCATATTTATCCCCTTCTAATCAACAGGAGAAATAAGCTACTACTTAGGTAAGTCAATTGATTTCAGAGGGACTTCTGTGTGACTGATTCTCTGGACAGGAGCCCCTGTACCTTGACTTTCTAAAAGACAGGGAAATTCACCAGATTTGGTAGGCCAATGGATTCCCCTGGCTTTTCCAGAGTCAGACACAGTGGAAAAAACTGAGAAAAAACAATGAGAAGGGGGGGGGAACAATGTTAGTAATACAAAAACGTTATTTGCTCCCAAACAGCATCTGATGCTGAAAACGCAGTTTTCTCCGTTAGCTCTGCATTCGATGATTTAGCATTTATCATGCATCACCCCCTCAAAATGATGGGGAATTAGAAGCACTTGATTGGTTTTATTGTTCTATATTTATTGCAGTATTTGTATTATATTTATTGTAGCTTAGATATTGTAAGCTGCTGAGGGTATGGGGTATAAATTAAATAAATAAGATTATTTTGAATTATTATTTTGAGCCATGGGATCAATTTTAAGTGGATGGACCGTTTGAAATAAAAAGGGGCAAAAAAAGTAAATGGGATGTGGGAAAGAGCATGGTCTCTGTACATGCCCCAAGGCACTGCCTCTGCTCAGCCATGACCCGACATCTACCCTCCTTCAAGTTTTCTCAGACGGTGGTCCCAAGAAGGGTCACGTTATGAGCACAAATGTTGTCTGCAGAAGACGGGAGTGGTGGAAGTCTGCAAAGGCTTCTCCAGCCACAGGAGCCAAAGCCTCTGCTGCGCTCTACTTCTGCATACCACTTGCTACCAGACTCCAGATGACTCCACAGCAAGCGAGGCTGATATCTTTGTTGTGGGCCCAATTGCTCAGAACGGTCAGGACTTCCGAGAAGAGCCCGGCTTTCCTCAGGGCTTCTACAGCTGTGTCTGGTAAGCAAAGGAAAGGAGAGATTAGAGGTCTCTGGCTCATATAGGCAACCAGGGCTTTTGTTGTAGAAAAAGCCCAGCAGGAACTCATTAGCATAACAGGCCACACCCAACAGCAGAAACCCATTAGCATATTAGGCCACACACCCCATGCCTTTCCTTGGCTTGCCCGGGTACCCCGCGGCTGCAGAGAGCCCAGGCAAGTCCCCCCTTGAAGGGAAGGGAAGGCAGTTTAAACTGCCTTTCCTTGGCTTGCGTGGGACAGGCCAGGGAAGGCACGGGGAGGCATTTAAATGCCTCCCCGATCCTTCCAGGGGCCCCCCTGGCCCGCCCGCCTCGGAGTCGCCGGGGGGGGGGGTCACTCTCCAGGCCTTCCCTCTGTAGCCAGGCACACACAGAGGTTTTGGCTGTAGTGGGCATGGCCAACTCTGAAGCCAGCCGGAACTCCGTTCCTGTGCATTTTTCCTTCCCAAAAATAGTCCTGCAGGCAACCAATCGACAAATCATGAACTGGAGGTGCAGCGTAAAAACCCATGGGGCAGAAGATTAGGAATCCTAACATGGAGCCCTAATACAAAACAAGATTATCTGCATGTGCCCAAATTTTTCAGGGGCTTCCCGTTTTCCTGGTCCAATTATATTTTTGACCTGCTAGTAGTCAGCAGTTTTTTTTTTACTGGTTTTCAATCTGGGGTCATCTTTTGAATTGAGGAAGGCCTAAAGGGCCGTCTGCACTGATGGGTGCATTTCCACATGAACGGAAACAAAGCGAAAGGCTCTTCGGGCGGCCACCTATTGGCTGATCCCCTGTTTAAGGTGGCCCTCCCAACATCATCCAGAGCCCCCTGCTGTCTTCAGTGGAGCTCCCGCCTTGTGGAACAGGCACCCTGTGGAGATGTGTTTCTCTCCCTCTGGAGGCCTGAGTTCCCCAGCCAGACTCCACCCTCCCACAGAAAAGAACTCTAATGGGGTTGGGGATCCCTGGTAGAGGCCAGGACCCCTTAAAATTCCCCCCCCCCCAGACCTTTGACACAGTGATTGGTGGGACAGAAGACAGCATCGTAGATCACTCACCGTTACTCGACATTATCATGAATAACGTGCAGATCATCTGCAGCAGGCCTTCATTGTTCGCGTAGGACTTCATGGAGTTTATCAGGCAATGAACTGTGGTTTTGCTCGACAGCATTTCCACATCCAGGTCCTTCCCCACAGCTGCCAGAAGCGGAACAGAGGACAGGAGCCATCAGCCGCCTTAGCTGCCTTTGCATCGCACTACAGGTGTGCCAATAAACGTGGCAGATCTTCCGAAGTGGGGCCCGAGACATGATCCGGCAACACTGTGTGTTTGAACATCTGCGTCCCAAAGCACGGCAGCAAAAGTGCTTGAGACAGACTGAAATACCAGAGGTGGTGTGTTATGTATCTCAGGTGGAGCGTGGCCTTTGTTCATGATTGGGAGTTGACGGGAACTCGCTACAGTGGCTTTATAGAGGCCACTGCTTCTCAGCCGCCCCCTTCCCAGTCCTCACTATGTACAGATCATAATGCTGCCTGCACTGCAGGCAAGTACGGGGATGATGTCTCTGAAGTGCTTGGAATACTTTTAAAGTAACACATCTGTTAGTTTCGGAAAGTTTCCCAGAGAGTCTTGAGTGTTCCTTAGAAGCTTGTCAAGACTAAACTTGGTGGACCTCTTTATTTCTGATTTGTCATCTTCCTTGGATAGGGTTAATGGCCACCCGCCCAAATTAAACATGACTCCTGTTCCGGTTTTGCATTACGCGGACGATGCGGTTATCCTCTCCTTTACTAGGATCGGTCTTATACGCTCTTTATCTGAGTTTAATGTCTATTGCCTTCGGAACTGCCTTTCCATTAATTTTGACAAGACAAAAATATTGGTTTTCTCTAAATCATGGAAATGCAACCGTTGGTCAATAGCGGGAAGAGAAATACAGCAGGTAAAATCTTTCCGGTATTTGGGAGTGCTATTTTGTTACAATCTTAGCTGGTGTTTGCATAGAGAACACTCCTTGGTTATGGCTAAGAATAAGGCTGCAGCCCTGATTCGGTTTTTTTTCTACAAGGGCAACCAATTTGTCCCGGCTGTGCTTAAGATGTTCCAAGCGGCTGTTATATCTCGTCTGCTATACGGGATTCCTATCTGGATTCAGTCTTTTACTAGGAGAGTTGAGAGCATCTACTCCACTTTTCTGCGCAGGATTCTTGGTGTTTCCAACTCAGTGTCACTTTTTGCCCTTTATAAGGAGCTGGGTCTCCACTTGATAGAATCTCGGGCTTGGATCATTACGATCAAATATTGGCTTCGGCTCCATTTTCGATCTCCTCCTGCTAGCCTAATGGTCCAACTTTTAGCTGACCCTTATACATCAGAGTGGTCACAGGCCATAGTGAAAAAGGTGGGTACCCTAGGTATTGATCTGGAACCCCTCTATAACTGTGGTGAGGTAGCAATCTTGCAGGTGGTAAGGAGGAGAATTTGGGATATAGAGGCACAGATCATTAATGCCGGTAGTCTTGGAGTTTGTTCTCCCTATTCATTACCCCTCCTCCCCTTGCATACCTCCATGGTACCATATATTGCTAATTTGACAACTCCAGTTTGTAGGAGGGTTTTTATGCTTGCAAGGTTCAACCTTTTCCCCTCAGTAGTGGTTTCCGGTAGATACAGGGGTGTGCCATACAAGGATAGACTCTGTAACTGTAATCTTGGGGAACCTGATTCTATCACCCATATTCTCTTTCGCTGTCCTAAATATCTCGCTATGCGCAATGTTTTGATTCGCCCACTTCTCCCTGTGCAGAGAGATTTTCTGGATAGGGATTTAAATTTCTTTCTAGCAGACAAGAGTCCAGCAATAACACTATCTGTCGCTGAATTTTTGACTTATGTATGGAAGTCAAGAGTAGTACTTTGTAAATCTCGTAAACCATGTTAGGATTGCTTTGTATTTTAAGATAATGGGAATATTGGTTGTCGTTGTTTTAGTACTATCCCTTAAATTTTGCCTTTGTTCTGGTTATCTGTGTTATGCCAATAAAGGTTTCTGTTCTGGTGGACAAACTTCCCGGAAGTTTCACCATAGGGGACCTCCCCCTGCCACATACTGTGCAGCAGCAGCAGGACACGTTGGGGAGCCTCCTCGGTCACCCTCGGCCTACGCCCTGTGCTGCCAGGTGTGTGCCTGTGCTATGGAAGGAAGGTGATTTGTCCCCTCACTCATTGCTCTTGGGAAGCAAGTTCCCCCCCCTCCACTTCCCTGCAGCATTGTGCCCCCCCCCCCCCGCCCTCTCCGCCACAATCTCTCCCCAACCTGGGCTGGTTGTCATATGGGCAGGAAAGTGACATTTCCCAGTCCCGTCCACACCACAGCCATTTCCCGCCCCACCCCCCATCCTAGTCCCCACGGGCCCTGAAATGGCTACCCTGATTTCACTAGATCTCAGAAGCTAAGCAGGGCTGGCCCTGGTCAGTAGTTGGATGGGAGGCCACCAAGGAAGTCCGGGGTCGCAACACAGAGGCGGGTGAGGGCAAAACCACCTCTGCTCATCTCTTGCCTTGAAAACCCCATGAGGGGCTGCCAGAAGTCGGCTGAGACTTGGCAGCACTTCCCGCCACAATGGCATTGTTTAGGGGACGTCCCACTCCTGCTGGCCTGAATTGGTTTCATACTGCACAACCTGCCTTGAATCTGAGAGAGGAGGACGGGCTACAAAGGACATAGATAAAATAAAAATAAATGAACGTGTGCAGGAAGCTTGTGGTCAGCCCAGTCTGTGTGGAAATTATCCCTGCAAGCAGAGAGATTGCTGACTGTATAAATGCTAATTGGCAAGTGGCATTCCCACATGCGGGACCATAGGGTGCAGCATGTCTATGTATTGTTTCTAAATGCGGGGTGTGATTCAGGAAGCAGCCTGCAGCATGGCGTTAGTGAAAAGGGCCATAGCAAGACTTGCTTCTCCTTTTGTTGTTGTTCAGTCGCACAGTCGAGTCCGACTCTTCGCGACCCCATGGACAAGATCCCGCCAGGCCCTCCTGTCTTCCGCTGTCCTCTGAAGTTTGCTCAATTTCATGTTCGTTGCATCTATGACACTGTCTAACCATCTCATCCTTTGCCATCCCCGTCTTCTTTGACCTTCAATCTTTCCCAGCATCAGGGCCTTCTCCAGTGAGTGCTCCCTTCTCATTGGGTGGCCAAAGTCTTTGAGCTTCAGTTTCATTATCTGGCCTTCCAGGGAACTGTCAGGATTGACTGTTTTGATCTTCTTGCAGACCAAGGGACTTCTTGCAGTCCAAGGGACTCTTCTCCAGCACCATAGTTCAAAAGAATCTATTCTTCGGCGCTCGGCTTTCCTTATAGTCCAACTCTCGCAGCCATACATGACTCCTGGGAATACCATTGCTTTGACCATGCGGACTTTTGTTGGCAGGGTGATGTCTCTACTTTTTATCATGCTGTTTAGGTTCGCCATCGCTTTCCTCCCAAGGAGCAGGCGTCTTTTAATTTCATGGCTGCAGTCACAGTCTGCAGTGATCTGGGATCCCAGGAACGTGAAGTCTGTCACTACTTCCACGACTTCCCCTTCTATTTGCCAAGGAGTGATGGGACCGGATGCCATGATCTTAGGGTTTTTTTATGGCTGACGCGAAGCGAAAAACAGAAAGAACTGCCGCGCTTTGCTGAAAAAAGCGACAGCTATGGTAAATAACAGTCAGGATAGAGGTATGGAGCTGACTGCTGGTCATGGCCCTACCTCTGCCAAGCAGCACAGAGCGTGCAGCTAACTGGATTGCAGGAGAATCAATGTGATCCTTCGCTGCACAAGTCGCAGAACTGATAACCTCAAGGCAGCTACTTAGGTTGACTGTGGGGGAGAAACCACAGCTGCTTTATTTTATTTCTTTGCTATTGAGTAACGATTACTGTTTCCTAGTTGTTTTCATTGTTTTACTTTCCTAAACTTTCTTTGTGGGCCCATGCCCCAGTTTCACAGCTGCTAAACAAATGCACGTGCCCCGACATGCCCACAGGGGCTGCCCCGTGTTAGTGCCCATGAGGGCTGCCTGGACTGGAGGTAACCAACTGGCGGGACCATCACTGAACTGCCAGCCTGCAGCAGCCGCTCCCCGCCCAATCTCTGGAGAGTTGCTGGCAATGCAGCAATGCCCACGGATATGTGCTGCAACACATCTGTTGGCACAAATTCTGCTAGCTCTCCTCACCAACAGGACTTCTCCCCACCTGACAAGGCTCTGAATGACCCCAACAAAGACGAGTAGCCTGTGTGTGAGCTCCGATGTCTAGTATGCTGGTACAGGGGAAGGATCACCCCCCCCTGCTCCATCTTTGCAAAAGTGTCCGTGGCATTCCTTTCCCAGTCCCCTGGGCCCTTCTGTTAGTGGGGCCTCTGTGCCCAATGCCACAGACTGGATTGTGCCCCATGCCACTGTGGAATCTCTGTGCATCAAACTCCCAAGTGAAATGAAAACAGTTTGGGAGTCAGAACTTACCCTTGGCATCTTTCAAGAGGGTGTGAAGGCGCTCAATGCCCTTTTCTTGAGCTTCCTCTATGTCTGGATACGTAAACATAAATTCTGCAGAAAATAAAAACATTTGCACCTTTCTGCAGAACCTTTTGTACACAGAAATACGTCAGAGAAGTCATCATTGGTTATTATTTTTCACACACCCTCATAAATGCCCAAGACTCAATGCCTTTAAAGTCACAGCTTTCCACACACTTGCTTGGGAGTGAGAGTTAATGTAACATAAGCATTAAGCATGTGAGAACATGTGTGTTGGAACTCTCTGGTTCAAATCCCATCCCAGGCACAAACTCATTGGGCAGCTTGAGGGGTATACAGCAAACCTGCAAAGGGAACGTGTGTGCATTTTCCCTCTCTTGCAGAATAAGCTTGTGTTTTCCCCCACCTTCATACTACACTGAACACGTTTACCAGAAATTTCCCTACCAGGTTTGTCATCTGTCTTGCCCCCAGCCCTATGATTCAAATAGCTTTTCCAATTTCAGGGTGGGGGTCCTGAAGCTCATTTGAATATTTAAACAATCAAAAGTTGAGTTATTGCCCTATTTAAAAACAAAAAATTAATTTAGTTTTTAAAAGGTCAAATTCCTCTGGGAGGGGTGATCTGTGATCGTACAAACCTAAGCCCACGAGCACGTGCACAGTCAGTCGCTCCTGCAAACAAACTTTTTCCTCAAGATCAGCTCTGGGGAATGAGGCGAGTGGCCTTCAGAACACAGCAATTTCTCCTTCTCGGCCGGATCCTGCACCTGCCTTCTAGGATTCCATGACTTCTTTCTGCCAAGTCCTCCTACAGTGGAGAAAGGCTTTTTCCAATGAGACAGATTTCCTCTGATGGCAAAAGACTTTCTCCATTGGAGGAAGTCTTGGCAGAAGGGGGTGGTACTAGGCTGGAATTGGATATCTGCACATGGCTTCCTCTCGGTCCCTTCACATGCAAAGCAGACATAATAATAGAGATTTTGTCTGAGTCATAAGCAGTGTTCCCTCTAAGGTGAGTTACTGTGAGCTAGCTCACAGTTTTTTAGCCTCCAGCTCACACATTTTTTGCCTTAGCTCAGGAAGAATGGCTCTAGAGCAAGCTAATTTATGCAGGAGCCAAGTCACTCGCTCACAACTTTAATGCCAGTAGCTCACAAAGTAGAATTTTTGCTCACAGGGCTCCGTAGCTTAGAGGGAACATTGGTCATAAGGATTACAGACATAATTGAAGAAGAAGAAGAGATTGGATTTATACCCCACCCTTCACTTGAAGTCTCAGAGCGACTTACAATCCCTTGCCCCTTCCTCTCCCCTCAACAGACACCCTGGGAGGGAGGTGGGGCTGAGAGAGCTCTTTCAAGGACTGCTCTTGAGAAAACAGCTCTGAGAGAACTTGTAACTGACCCAAGGTCACACCAGTAGCTGCATGTGGAGGAGTGGGGAGTCAAACCCGGTTCTCCTGAGTTTGATCTATACTTGAACTACTTGAACTACTTTGCACACTTAGGGAAAAGTACCATATACATATGAAGTACTGTGAAAAAAGTCTCTATCTCAGCAAGACATCTCTTTTAATTACTCCTGGGCTGCTTCCATTCCCCCCTTAACTTTGCTTCCAAACTAGAGCAGTTTTTCTTGGGGGAGGGGGATCCACACAACATCATGCTCTCATGATCCTTGCCATAAAGAAGCAGACCGGCATTGTAGCAGGGCCCCCAAATGTTTTGACCTGCATGCACGTTCGTGGTGAGCACAGCCACAAAATGGCTGCAGCAGGAGGTGGAGTCAGTGCCAAAATGGCTGCCACAGCTCCCCTTCAGTCACACAGTGAAGAGCTTTGTGCTGTGGGGGCAGCTGCTGCCGAAGCAACATTTTTTTTTTTTAAATCTGCACAGCTGCCCTGACCTGGATAATCCAGGCAAGCCTGATCTCGTAAGACCTCGGAAGCTCAGCAGGGCCGACCCCGGCAAGTACTTGGAAGGGAGGTCTCCAAGGAATACCAGGGCTTGGGACGCAGAGGCAGGTAATATTAAAGCCACCTCTCTGAAAACGTCCAAGCCCCAGTAAGGGGTCACCAGAAGTCACCATGACTTCCAGGCATGCAAGCGCGCACACACACACAAAAAGTGCTGCACAGCCAGTCAAATCTCCAGTGGCCAATTACAAGCCTTGCTGGGCAAAAACCTAGGGTTGCCAGGTCTGGGTTGGGAAATACCTAGAGTGGGTGGATCCAGGAGAGGGCGGGGTATTGTTAGAACTCCCTTTCTCCTATCGTTCCGAATCTGGCGAGATCATGAGCGGAGCTGAGGGGGACCTGCCGAAAACGGAGGGGGATTCAGGATCAATCCCACACACCTCCGCTCCTTTGGTGACGGCAGCCTCGCTGGAGGGTGCCGTGGGGGGAACGATTCCCCGCCGGCCTGCACATCTGTCTTGGCCGCCTCCAACCCCTTCGCACTGGGGTCCGCGGAAGACTCAACGGCAGGATGACTGGACTATGTACAACACTCAAGGCACCCGTGTGGTGTACTCCCGTCGAGGGAGCGGATTACGTGAAAGTTTGTTTGACAAGGGATTGTTCCCAGAGCCGGGGACTACCTCGGAGAAGGGGTGTTCTGAGCAAGACCTCGAAGAGTGGATGTTCGAGCCATCGGGGCCCCGAGGCCACGTAGAGGACTCGGAGGGAGCCGGGGGCTTCCAAACGGAAGGAGACTATGACCCAACCCCGGACTCCCACCCTCGAGATCCGATCCCTGAGGAAACCACCGGGGAACGACTGGAGGAACTGGAATACTCGGTGAGGGACCTGTTGAGGGCATTCCAGGATGTAATGGAAGCTCTGCCGGGGATGATGGACATTAGAATGGCTAATTTTCTTGATGCACACGCCGCGCAACAGCAAGTTGCCCCAGCACCGGGAGTTCCCGCGCCGCAGGTGCCTGCCCAGCCACCGGCCGGACCTCCGCAGCAAGTAGGACCTGCGCAACAGCCGATGCCGGGTCTGCCGCCGGGTCTGCCGCCACCGATGAGGCCAGTGCCAGCGGGACCACCGGTTGCTCCGGGTCTTCCTCTCGGGGGAGTTCCGGGGCAGCTGGGACCGTTGGTAAGGACTCCACGGCCCAGACCCAAGGATTTACTGGAGGCTACCTTTGACGGCAACCCAGAGGAACTCGCCTTCTTCACGGTGAGGGTGCACAAATTCGTAGAAGAGAGCCGACACCTCTTCCGAAATGAAGCTGCTCTCATTGATGTCATCTCGGCGAGACTGAAAGGAGACGCCGCCACATGGTATGTGGGACTGCACAATGACCGCGGTCCGGAACTTTTGAATTTGCGAGCATTCATGTGGGCGCTGCGGGCTCGGTTTGAGGATGTCAACGCGAGCCAAAGGGCCAAAGCATTTCTCCGCACCTATCGTCAGAACAAGAAGTCGGTTCGCGAATACACACTGGAATTCCACAAGCAGGCAGCAAAGCTCCGAGACTACCCCGATCACATTTTGGCTGAAATGTATCGATTGGGACTCAACGCGGACATCCGAGAAACGGTTTTGAAGACTGTTAATCCTATCTCCCTGATGGCTTGGACCCAGGAAGCTGAAAATGCAGAGGATCGGCTAAACACCATCAAGCTCGACCTGGCTGCTACGACCAACAGACCCGTCACTGCCAGCGCCTCCAGACCCAAGACTCAACGCCTGTCGGAATCGGCACGAGACCTGCGCATGAAGATGGGGCTCTGTCTGAAGTGCGGGGAGAAGGGGCATTTCGCCGTGGATTGTGGCAGCCGTCAAGCTAAAGACAAGCCGCCTACTCCGAAGCCTAAGACGCCACTACCGGGGAAGACGGGGATGGCCAAACCACGATTCTCCAAAGCTCTTCAGGCGGCCCAAGGTCCGGAAGGAACCGAGCCGCTTGCTGCCGAGTCAGAAGAGGACGTGGAGGTTGAACCGGCGGAAAACGACAACGGCCTGTTGTGAGAGGCGCAAAACGACACGGCCATTCCAGCACTGCGCCCAAGGTGGTGAGAGAAACCCCTTCCCTGTTTTTCGTGACTGTTTCTTTAATGAATCCGCTCCTGGGTACCCACGTCAGGGTGAGAGCGTTGATTGATTCTGGGTGTGGGAGGGATCTCATCAGCCCTAGAGTGTTATTGACACTGGAAGCGGGGATAACCCCCTTGAAATCTCCCATCATTTTTACCCAAATGGATGGGGCGCCCATGGAACCTTGTACGCATGAGACTATGGCTTTGCGGTTGGGGGCTGGCGATCATTGGGAATCCAGGACCTTCATTGTTACCCCTAAGTCGCAGTTTGATTTGGTACTGGGGAGTCCCTGGCTATTTACCCATGACCCTTACATCTTGTGGGAAGAAGGGGTTGTCAAATTCGTGTCGCCAAAATGTGTAGATCACTGCTGGTTGGATTCGTGGGGGGACCGGCCTGCCGCGCAGTTCCCCTGCGGCACTTTGAAGCCGGAAGAGTTAGCGTCTTTGCCTCGAGAGTATAGAGACTTGGCGAAAGTTTTTGGCGAAGAAGAAGCTAACGAACTGCCCCCCCATCGCTCTACTGACTGTGCTATTGAACTCTTGCCTGATTGTAAATTGCCTAAAGGTAAAATCTATGCGATGGGGCCGGCTGAGAAAGTTGAACTGCGGAATTTTATTGATAAAAACTTGGCCCGCGGTTTCATTCGCCCGGCTTCCTCCCCTTTCGCCGCGCCGGTACTCTTCCGAAAGAAGAAAGACGGGGGGCTCAGATTGTGCACGGATTATAGGGGTTTGAACGCTGTTTCTTTGTCCAATGCCTACCCCCTCCCCCTTATCAAGGACTTGGTAGCAGAGGCCACCAAAGGCAAAATCTTCTCGAAACTTGACCTACGGGATGCATATTTCCGAGTGCGCATTAGGGAGGGGGACGAAAGTAAGACTGCGTTTAATACCCCCTTGGGGCAGTTTGAATACCTCGTTATGCCCTTCGGGCTTCAAGGGGCTCCGGGGGTCTTCATGAACTTAATCAATGAGGTCCTACATGAATTTTTGTTCAAAGGGGTGGTTCTTTACCTTGATGATGTGTTGCTGTATTCCCAGGACCTACCGTCGCATATTAAATTGGTGCGCCAGGTCCTTAAGAGGCTTTATGAGCACAACCTGTTCGCCAAACTGTCTAAATGTGAATTCCACAAGCCCTGCATTGACTTTTTGGGTTATCGCATCTCCGGGGGGAAGGTGGAAATGGACCCTGCTAAAATACAGGCTGTGCTTGAATGGGAACCCCCCAGAACCCGCAAACAATTGCAAATGTTCCTCGGATTCGCCAATTTTTACAGAAATTTCATCCAAAATTTCGCTCAAATTGCCCTTCCTCTAACCGATTTGTTAAAAACCAAGGGAAAGGGGTTTGATGCTACCAAACCAGGCGCCCCACTTAAATGGTCCCCTGCTTGCGCGGAGGCTTTTGAGAAACTTAAACGTATGTTCACGTCTGAGCCCGTGCTGGCGCGCCCTGATGAAACTAAAAAATTCATTGTCCAGACTGATGCCTCGGATGTGGCAATGGGAGCCGCTATTTTGCAAGAAGGGGA